CCTGCTGAAATTAGGAGAGTGCTGAGCTACAGTAAATTTTGGTGCTGACAGACCAATTCCTAGGATAAGGAACATCCCTGAGAAATTAAACTGATTTACTGATGAACAAGAGGCATTTAAAACTTCAGTAAATCATAGCAGGAAAGAAAGGCTACTAAGGGCACATTTAAAATACATTAGTAAGGCTGGCCCTGAGACAGGACCCTCTAATAGAGGTATTGCAATTTCAAGAGTTACACAGAGAAGGGTGCGTGTCCCATCCATTCAGTAGCATGCAGCACAAACTGCAAGCCTGCCAGGAGAAACAGGGACACTGCCAGGCAGTGGTTACACGAGGGAGGAAGCTTTCTGTGTTCAAGTACCCGCTTTCAGTTTTTAGTACTTGATTCAGTGGCAGGGTTTTCAGTAACCTCCTCCCAACATCTATCAGCACACAGGTTTAAAATTGTGATTATGTATAATACCTTGCATCGGTAAAGCAACCTTGCTCCTATAAAAGCACACCTTTTTCCACAGAGAAACATCAAACATCCCTGTCCAGTGAAGCAGTTTTCAAAGATCTCCTGCCCAACGCTTCCTTGACTAAAGCTGCAGACAGAACGGCACTCGACAGGTAAAAAAGCAAAAAATTACCTTTTCTGGTGCTGGAGAAGTTGGCTGCAACAAGAGCGCTCTTAGTGATCCCAGCAGCAGCTCCAGCCAGTTGGCTCCCAGCAGCTCTGGCTTTCTCCCCTCGTCCCCTGACTGCCTGACATCTCCGACCTTGGGGAATTTAAACCCTGTCCCAGGCACAGCCACCAATCCCCATGTAGCGGAAAAAGATGAGGTCATGAGGCTCCTGGCCACCATCCTGCCCACATTCTCCTACACTTCCTCTTTGGCTTGTGGCTTTTGAAGCAAACAAAAGCTACTGTATGGTTAAAACATTACTTATGGGCAAGATCATTAACCAGCAGGTCTGTTGAATGCACAGCATTTGGTATCGTGTAGGAGGACTTCAGGGCATGTCTGTCCTCCTTTTGTGAAAAGGCAGAGCCCAGTTTCCCAGAAATTTTTCATTCTTACCCCCCTAAGAACAGGGCATACATAACGTGTGCAGGAAGAAAGAGATCTGAGCATAAAACTCCCCAAAAAGGTGTTAACACTTCCACAAAGTTGTATATTTGCTTTCCAGGGTATATATGTTGCAAAGAGAATCACAAAGACAGGATGCCTTTTTGGTCTGAACTGGGTCAAAAAAACCCCCAACCCAACAATATGAGTGTGTCTCAATAGGCATTCTGCATCCAGAAACTTGTTTGTAAAGGTATACAAGAGCCACTGACAGTCTAATTAAAAAGGGTTTGTGCAACATTATCAGAAATTCTGACTCCTTTTCTATTCATTTGTATCCCTTCTGGATCCTTTCTAGTTTCATTGACTCTCTTGGGTGGTTCGGTTGAGTCACCTGTTACAGCTCTCTGCTGCACCAAACCTGCTCCAGAACCCTTTTCAGGGACCAGATGCCAGATATTTTTCAAGCTAAAAAAAAGAAAAAGTAAAAAAAAAAAGAAAGCACCTATAACTCCAGTATGAGGAGTGCCATGACTAGCACTAGGAAGCAAGGGACATCATGGAATGAAATTCAGTATCTGCTACGGAGCAGTGCATCGGCCCTGCTGATGGGCAACAGATCTATTCTGGCAGCGCCTTGCTTGGACGGCCATAGCTTTGGATAGATTCTGCCTCGTCTGTGATGTGCTGTAAGACTCTCAGACCCTTTTCCATTCAGTGTTTCTTTAAAATGACAGTAAGGTGTCATTCAAACACAGGAAAACATTCCAAACAGCCCTTTAGAAGGCAGAATATTTATAACTGTTTCAAAGTGGTTATCTTTCTCCTCATTTCTGATACCCAGCTAATGTTTGATGTGTCCTTCATTGCTGCTTGACTAAAGAGACACCTTGTTGTCCCAGCCCATGTTACCAATTATCCTGTGCTTACTAACACTTCTGTGGCATGTTTAGAAACACCATGAGAAACATACCCAAGTTAGCTCAGCAACTGCCCATCACATAATCACACAGACCTATCTAATTATATTTTTGAGCTGACCGCAGCAACAGCTAGAAATGTAACTTAGTCTGCTTAATAGAGTATTCTAATATCATAGGAGGAGAATTGCATAAAAATATAGTGTATCATTAATAGTTCTGCGTAAACCCATGTATGCATCCACCTAAATGAGGACTATACTAGCTTTTATTTTTGGAGCTATGTAACCAATACTATTTACTAACTCAGGAAAGACTTTTCAAGCAAAAAAGCCTTCAGTAACTAGGATTTCAGCAGTGTGATCTTCTGCAGATTTAGATAGCTTATATCATCTCCCATCATATCTGCAGCTCAGTGCTTCTAGAAACCGGTTAGTTTACTGAAGCCCTTGAATGCAGATGCAGGACTCGAGCTGTAAGTGGGTGCTATTTAGAAGTTTCAGCTTGAGCATTATGTAGTAGCAAATATACCCAGGTTATAATACTATTACTTAGTAACTAGGACTGCTTCAAAAGGCCACTGTTGTTGACTCCAGGGAACCCCAAACCAGGCCCTTAGGTAGCGGAGTACCTTTGATCCCAAACACCGATACAAATGAACAGTGCATCTTGCAGCTCCCCTGATGGGTAAGAAAAAACTACTTCCATCTGACAGAGCGAGAAACAGAGACAGAGAGAAGCTCGGTGGCTCACACCACTGAATGTGGGACTGGGTATGCTGCGTCCTGCTCTCCTGTCCACATACACTGGATCAAATTTTAAGCCTGCAGAAACCTACTTTCTCTACCAATCATTCATCAAGAGACACGGAACTGAAAAACAACATTATACCGAAAAATCCCCTAGAGCTGTTGTCTGGCCAAAACAAGAACCTTCCAGGACTTGCAATCTGCATAATGCCACATTACTGTCTGTCAGACTTTCAGGAAAATACACATTATGTCAGGACTTGTAAATAACCCGTTTCACCAAGTTCAGCCACAGTTCAGCCACAGTTATCAGTCATGCTGATGGAGAAGCGCAGAGCAATTAGAAACACAGTCTTCCTGCAGTTTGTTAAAGACCTTCCTGTACAGGCCAGTTATCACTGTGGCTTTTCAAGGCAAATGTTTTGTGAGTACCTGGAACATTTGTCTCCCAGCAGAGACACTATGTGACCCCCAGGGAATTGTTTCTGGCAAACAACTGATATTTCCAGTGTGCTGGGAGATGGCAGAGTTTCTGAATACCGTTTCCAAAGCTATATGGTTGATTTTGTAAGAACTGAGGAACAACAGTGATGTTTTGCAGTAATCCAGAAGCAGGACGTGAAGTGACAGTTATTACTAAATGGCTTCATTTTATGCAAGATCAGCCAGTACAGAGCTGTAGTAAATTTAGCACTTCTCTCATGCCCGTCATTATGTGGTTATTCATCCTGTAAATCATTTCGTCTAGCTGAGAAATCCTTTGCCTTGGTAGGATATAGTGCTTCTCATCCTCTCAGAGATAAGGAACAAGCAAGGCAGAAAGGGGCGAACTTTCACCATTTTCACTTCTGATAGGGAGTAATATCATAAGTT